TATCACTTTCGCAACAACTGCTTTCGCCTGAAGAAGACGAGTCGTCGTTGCCGGACGGGTCGCAAGGGCCAACTTGAACACAGCTATTTGACTCCGCATCCTCGGCATCACGGAGGGACTGGTTGAGTTGTAGGAGCTTTGACGTCGATGATTGGATAGTGCTGCAGATCACTTCAGTGTCCAACTCGAAAAAAGCCCGCTCGAGACGTTCGTACACGTCTTGAAACGTTGTCTTCGAGGTATATGCACGGCCGACAGTCCCCTTGACATTAGCCCACACCATTTCGATAGGTTGGAGATCCGAGAACCCCGGTGCAGCATAGACAACATGATGCCCACGTGACTGCGCCATGGCAACAACAACAGGAGGGACATGCTCGTCAAGGTGCTTCTTCAACGCCTTCCAGATCGTCGACTTCAGGTCAGTTGGTGCCACGTCCGTGATCCCGAAGCTCACACATGCTTCGTAGAGTGCACTCTTCTTCCACGTGCCCTTGGGTGTCGTCTTTGGCTTGCCCTTGTGATACTTCGCATTGTCCATGACGAAGACCGCCGACCCCCATCCCAATTCTTCAACTTCGTCAAGCAGCTTCTCGAACCAGTCAACGAAATAATCATGGTTGAACATGGAATGGTAGTCTTCGACAGTCTTCCCGTTTTTCTTTCCACCAACAAAGATGTCAAGGCCAAGGAGGTGGGAAACATCAGAGCCGTCATCAAGAATTCCTGCTATGAAGCAGTACCGGCGACCTTTGTTCTTGGGCTTTGTCGTGGCTACGTCCGTTGGGTCGAAGAGGCTGTCGGAGTGACGGGAGTAGTGGTGGTGTATGAAGCTTTCGTCCAGGTATACGACTGGTCGGCGTGGGGCTGTCGTCACGGTTGGAACCATGAACTCGACGTACGCATCTCGTGCTTCTTCATGAGCCTTGGACATTCGATACACTGTCACGCCCGAGCGCTTGCCACGGGCGTAGCCATGCTTGGCGAGGAACGCTTGAACAGCACGAAGAGAAGCAGCATAGTCCTTGGCTCGGCTTGGGTCGATTCGAACAACACCATGGTCGAGGAGGAGGGCCAAGACGTCCTTCGCAACCGTGCGTGTGCGGGTGACACAGCGGTCGCGTATGAAGCGCTGCACAAGTTTACGCACTGCGTTGGTGTCGGGCACACGGGAGATGTGGTTGGACTTGTTGGATGGAGGCGGGGCCACCGTGATGTTGCCAGCAGACAGGAACTCAGCACAAACCATGGGGTAGAGTTGCGCCAAAACCAGGGGTAGGACCAAAGCTGGAGTCCGGCTCGATGTGCGCAAGATTGTCCACGTAAATCGATCGACAGGATTGTAAGTGCTCCTCGACCGTACCAGTTGCGAGTATCACACTTGACGGTCTTTGTACCCCTGCCAAGCAGGTGGGATATGACATCTGTGACGTTAGCTGTGTTGACCTCACGGAGTGTAGCCTGGAGCCAAAGGATGTCGAGCTTCTCGTCGACTGTCAAGCTGCGCCTGCGGCGCAACTTGACATACGCCTTGATGCGTTGTATCGTCGCCAGGTCCATTTAGACGGTCAAAAGTTCGTTTTTCGGCCATAAGTTCGTCAAATGGTGGGAAACGATCGGGCCAATCCATGCCGTCATTTTGGCACTTATTTCACGACAATCGGATAAGCATTAAGTGAAATAGATCAAATTGAGCGAATTTTGATGCAATTATTCAGCTATTTTGAGCAATCGAAGTATTGAGTTATAAAGGTTTGACTGTCAAGCAATTTTATAAATAAATTCGTACCTCTCCCAGTGTAATATTTATTGTGTTTCACAAGTTATCATGATTCATACGTGCATTTTATGTTAAATCCCACAGTTTATCCATCATTTTGTGAAAGGAATTGTGTTTCAGAGTCTGCTGGCGGTATATGCATATTCAGCAAGCATAGACCAATCAGATGCACCTAAAATCATGAAAATCGACCAATTCTTTCCTATCAAACCTCTGCTGGGGTCGTGGATGCCCTCGCGGACTGTGAAGCATTTCAATATTGTATTTATGTGTTCGCCTGGTTCCGGATAACCACCTCATGGTATTTTTGGCATGCAATGGACATGTCGTCGCAGCACGAACCCTTGCTGGGAATTCTCGGTGGCGTCGGTCCGGCCGCTGGACTTGTCCTGCATCAGGCCATCTTGCGACACACGCAAAATCTCGGCACAGACCAAGGCCATCTCGACGTCGTGCATGTGTCCCGGTCCTCAGATATGGCGGCCCGACCAGCGTACCTCGCTCAGCATACATCAAACACGATCACAATCGAGAACCCAGCGCTCGGAATGGCGCGGAGTCTGAAGATGCTTGTCCACGCCGCCCTCACTCGGCAGGCCAAGCTCATCGTTGGTGTGCCATGCAATACTTTCCACGCACCGCCGATTTGGGATACGTTTGTGTCGGCGGTGGCTGCCGAGGACCCAACGTCGTCTGTCACGCTATTGCACATGCTCCATGAAACTGTACGCATGGTGGCTGAAATCGCACCCTCCGCCCGCGTCATCGGCGTCATGTCCACGACCGGATCGCGGCACTCGCGCATTTACCACAACCTGTTAGAACCACACGGGTACACCGTCGTCGAAGTCCCTATGGCGCAGCAAGACGCGCTAAACGACACAATATTCAACACGGAATGGGGCATCAAGGCCACATCGCCCAGCATCCACCCTCGAGCCGTGTCCAATTTCGAATCCTTTGCGACGCAGCTCAGCGAGATGGGGGCGCACGTCGCGATATTGGGGTGTACCGAGATTCCGATGGCTCTGCCGGGGTCGGACGTCAACGGGATGTTGCTGGTGGACCCGATGGTCGCGCTAGCTCGCGCCATGATTCGCGAGGCAGACCCATCCAAACTCGTGCCTCTCGACATGCGGCTGGATCTGGCGCGTTGTCCGGTAGGGAAGCCCAAGCGAACGCTGAGTGTTCGCAGCGAAGATGGCCACACCGACCTCATGGACGACGATTACGACTCGGACAATGACCGAGAAGCTCCTGTTGATGTGGATACGTTCCGATTTTGCTTTTACTGAGAGCATCCTTGTATCTACTGCTTTGTAGCGTCCTTCGCTTAACGGTATACTGAAGTACATTACAGTCGTGCTGTGCCCTTCGAACCACTGCGAGCTGTGGCATCATGCACGATCGCCGGCCTTCGTCGCAAGGCTATGCATTCTTCTGCGTATGCCTGGCGGTCCATCGGGACGAGAGCTGGACATTCGCTTGACAAATTGCGATGGGCAAACGAGAGGGGAAAGATACCCTCATACACACTGCAATCACCACCCCGGACAAAGCTATGTGTGGAAACTACAGCGCAACGATGACCGCACGAAGCTGACTGGCTTTGATTATGGCGTCGACCATGCGCAGCGTGTGCTTCCATCGCGATCATGTCCCTGCGAACTCTCCATGGAGCGGTATACGGTGCATGCGCACGATTTGGAGTGAGGTCGTGCCAGTAGATGTTCAACACTGGTTTGATTTTGGTGCGTGCGAAAAATATCTCGCCATGGAGCACGCGGTCGTCCAAGGGGCACGCGTGAACCAGTTCGGCACGCCGCCACGGAACCCACCGCAGCTCAGCACGAGTGGGCTAAGTAAACTCCTACACGCCCATGTACGAATTGTACGCGTTATAGGAGGGAAGACAGGAACGCCTCGGCTTCGCGACTTGCAGCGTGTGTCGATCGGATCTCGGGCGATCCAATGCCGTCGACAGGTGGTGCAGCGGATGAATCGCTCGTGTTGGGTGGAGTACGAAGAGCCTGTTGCAACTTTGCCAAACGCGCTTGCTTGCGCTGGGCCTTGTCGGCCATGGTGAGCTTGGCAAGCTTTGCTTCTTCGTGGACTTGATGGAGAAATCCTTTCTCCTGCTGCTTGAGGGTTCGTTCCCACTGCGATACGACAAAGCTGCTGGTGCTGCCGCCTTGTGCCTCCTCAACGACGGGATCGGCTTTCCCAGCTGCAAACGGCACGGTGATGGTCCGCCCGAATTCATCCTTGGTTTCAATGGTCAATGGGGCACTTGCAGACGGTGGAGGAGGATGGTGGGTTCCATCGACAAATTCGTGGTCTTTGTGAATCGCCCCACACGCAGCGAGTTTCTTCTCTGCGAAGTTCACGAGGGGCGCAGCAGAGTCGTCCATGGTCGACGATGGGTGGATGGCTTTGCGACCGGAGGCCAGGTCGTCGTACAACTTCGCTTTCTCAATAAGGATTTGACGTGACCGTTTCTTCTTTGCACGTTCATCTTCTCCCAGCAACTCATCTTCATCGTCCTTTTGCTTTCGCTTGTTAATGCCTCGGTTCGATTTGGTCGACTCGGACGATTTGGTCGCCCTTGCTCCGCGCTTCGCTCGAAGCGTCGCATGGGACGTTTCGCCTGCACCTTTTTGGCGCTGTTCCTGCTCCTTCTTGTAGATTACGGCTTGGAGATCGACCAACGAGTTCGAATCCACCTTGATCGACTTGGCCTTGGACGGCACAAGCGCGCTCTCTGTGAGGAATCCGAGCGACATGGCGAAACGAATGCAAAAAATTGGCGGCGTTTCCTAACAATATAATACAGAAAATACAAATTTATATACAAAATCTGAGATAAAATCGACAGAACAAAAAAATAGTTTCAAGACTGAATGCAATTCACAACGAGTTTGGAAATCCTCAGCACGTTGAACACGACCGCGACGGTCGGGGTGACGGCACGGCGCTGCTGTAGGGGCTGGAAGTGCCTGATGAGATGCTGGAGCAGAGTTGGGTATAATTCGCCTAGGCCGTCGGCATTTAAGGCGGCGTGGTCGTCTGAACTCGCCGCAAGATGATTGTCCATGCCAGCGCTTCGTCGTTCGGTTCGAGCTGTCTCAGTTCGGTTGGTCACCGCACTGATGCTGGCCCGACTTGTCGACGACGACAGCACCTGCGGGCGGCATCTCCACGACGTCGGGCAGTGCGATCGCGCAGCAGGTATACATAGGAATATCGCTGTCGCTGTCTACTTCGACATGGCAGACTTGACCATGGAATACTCTCGCCGATTTGCGTCAGAAGGTTTGATGTGCCGAAGAGGACCGACATCAGCGTGCGAATCTTTGCCGCGATACAATAGTTGTCACATCGTACGGCTATCTGTGCCGACGAACGGCGACTGTAACAACACGACGAGCGAACTCGCTAGATAGCTTTGTTCAACGACAAGATGAAGCAAATGGATCTTTAAGCCAGAGGGACGTCGAGATAGTCGGCTGCGTGGTCGTACAGGTGCTGGAATTCAGCATCAAACAGCGATTGCGGTCGCGCGAGGGAAAGCTGTGCGATGTCTTCGTCTCCTACCGCCGAATCTTCGGGCCGCGCTATTTGAACCAGCAGATTCATCGCAGGGCGGGCTTGACACAACTCAAGTTTTTGGTACTTCGAGGGAGGCTGCGCAAGATGAGCTGAAATGGACTGACCCCGACGGAGGAATCTCCGTGGAACCACAACGCCGCGACGAAGGTAGCGACCAGTCTTGAGGAACAGCGTACAGGTCTTCGCAAGACCACTGAAAAATAGTGCGATAGAGTGTACTTGGTTCGACGGAACAGGCGCTGGGGACGGATCCGCGAGTGTTGTTGCAGAAGCAAGAGCAACATGGGGAAGTATTTGAAGGCTTGCGCATCGATAGACAAGAAGAGACTGCCTCCACCGAGACACCGCTTTCATTCGACGACATGTCGAGGTGACCTTCGCCGTGGCATGCGGCGACTGCTGCTTTTGTCTAGAAGTTCAACACTCGTTTCCTGGATAAGGTCGACTGCCTTGGTGCATCCACCTGCCGAAATTCCTTGTTTCGTTGGACACGGAGATGTCGTCGATGCACGCGCATGTAAGGGGTATCGGCAGCACGGACCTGTCCTCGAGATGGCGGCGGCGCAGTGGCCGAGTGCCTCGAGCATCGTCGTTACCCGTGTGGTTGCGACATGGCGCCATGTGATTCAATATTTTGGCCAATGAAATCACGCAAACACACATATTTCAGCCAATTGAATCGCTTTATTCAATTGCTCCATTTCGTCGCCAATCTATCGCAGGCGCCGACCAGGGCCTTGGAACGGAGCGACAGGTGGCTTCACCTCTGGTTTCGACTCCTGCGGAGGGATGGGGGGTGCTGCGGCAGCCATGGATGGAGTGGAGGACGTCACGCCAGTGACGGAGACGCCCGTGCCGTGGAAAGCTTCGTACTTGCGAAGTCGAGCTGCACGCAGGGCTTCTGCATCAGTGTTGGACCCTGGCTTGAGTCGCAAGCCACCGAGTCCTCCCAAGCCCGTTCCGACGGGTTTTGTAACCTTGATATCTTGGCTTTTCACCGTGGGGACCCCTGCCTTCACGTTGAGGCTCCATTCAAAACAAGGTGAAGAGTACCTCCATACGGCAAATCCGGAATGGGTGCGGCGACTGCCGGCGCCGCGGGAGCCACTGGTGGCACGTAGTCAACCGGCGCGTCGAAATCGAGCTCACAATCCGTCTCGATAATGCACACGGCGTCGGCGGGACGCAGCTCACGGACGTCAAAGAGGTAGTTACGGTTGTTGTACGTGATGGAAATGGTGTCGCCAACTGTCATGCATGAAAACTTGCGCAGCGTGGCTTCCAACCTAATGGAACAGGGCGGCCGTGAGGTACGATAGCTCATGAAACCGAATCGAATGGGACTGACACCGCTCGGGGGTTTGTAATGTCGTGGAAATCGGTGGACTGCGGGCGAATTTTGGCAAAGCTGGCCTTGGGCAACGTCACATTTTGGATGTTGATGATGCCACCTTCGTTCAAAAACATGTTTTGCATCATCTAGCCACAGCGTTTGAGTAAGGGCGACGACAACTAGGTAGGACAAGGCGATACCCAATACGGCATGTAGCAGCTACCTTCCGGAGCACTAAACTCCAACACACCGCAGTGGGAGCTGCGGTTGACTGCTTCGTTCGTGATTTTGAAGAGCATGGGGTACTCCACGTGCATTTGTGCTACGTGATTAGTTGAGGTATGGTGGCATGGAACGGTATCCACTTTAACGACGGACCTAACGTTTCGAGGGCCGACGGCGGCAACAAAACTGCACGGACATGTCAGCTCCGCAGCATGAATAGACACAATGAACGTACTCTTGTCCCCGTCCTCCAAGTGGGCCTTGTCGCAGAAAGATACGGGATATACGCGATAGTGCTCGTCGAATCTACGCCATGTCTTGGGCTCATGCACATCGTAACATCACTGTACCGCTGGGGATACGAGTGGCCACCAAACCCAAAGTTGATTCCAAACGGGTTGTCTTGTCTGTTTCTACCTCCTCCAAAGAACTGCATCACCCCGGTCAGGTTAACGTGAGGCGCATTCATCTGCAGGAACGCACCATTGTTGTGGCACCGACACACGCGGCAAGATTCGCTGAATTCCCAATTGGGATGCATCATCCGGATACAAAAATTCTCTATTCTCGAAAAATGTCGTTTTCCGAATGGAGGAGGCTCAAAATGACACTATTTTGTATCATTTACACTTTTTGGAAAATGTAATGCAATTCCTCTCTCACGTTGACGTGAAGCTTCCTGAGCATGGTCAACCGGGTCAAGCTGGCATTTCTTCCAGAGACCTTCCGTGTTGATGTACAAGGGGCGAGCAAATTTGCCTGGTTTTGTTGTCCATGTGAGCTGTGCGTTTTAAACATGAATGGGGTGTCCTTCAACAAGGACACCCCATTCATATTTAAAACGTTTTGTATGGTTTTGTCAAACAAGGATTCGCTGAAACTACAAAAATCGACATCAAAATATCAATTCATTTTCGCAATAAATACTGACACTGTTTCCAAAACCCGAAAAGTGGCACAGCTCGCTAATCCAAAGAAAAGCTCGCGGCGCCGCCGACACTGTTCCGTTGGGGATACTGGCGAACATGCATCTGCAGCTGTTCTTGGCGCCTCGATTCATTACATATGTCGACAAAGCAGACGTCGCACACACGCACGGGCTCGTCCTCGTCCTCGCTGCCGACGCCCACGAGGCGCGCTCGTCGGTTCGAGTGCTCTACACCGCAGGTTCCAGTGAGATCACCATCAACTACTCATGCACCGTACCATGACAGAACGACTGACTACACATGCGGCAGTGGTGCCGCCTCGTAAAGAACCCAAACTCCACCTTGCATTCAAAGCACTTGTCGTCGCGAGCCCACGTCGTTACGTCCTTGACATGGTACGTGAGTCGACGAGGGGTGTTGGGCCGGTAGCCAAAGGACCGACGGAGGTCTGCGAGCTGTCCTTCCGTCATCGATCCAATCGACGATCGTGACGACGACACAGTGCTTGCAGTCATGGCCATTGTGGCGCCGTGGCTGTTGGTCGCGCGGGGTTTATGCATGACGGACATGCGAAGCAAATCCACTTGGCGCTGCAGCTCCTCCACCTTTTGCTCGTACTCCAAGTTGTCCACCTCCGACATGCATTCGTCATTGTCGTAGTCGTGGATCGCAGGCAACGCCATGGAATGGAGCTGGCGACTGCTGCCGCCGATGTGGTCATCAAAGTGGGGGCGCCACTCCGACGACCTCCGAGGCGTAAACTCGACAGTGTCAATGGATTCGCCGCGGGTCATCTTGGTTGCGTTGGGGTGGAGCAGCATGGACGCAGCGCCTGTAGCGACGGCGAACCCGCTGTCATTCGTGAATTGCCCATACATGTCGGCTTCGAGGTGCTTGAGTTTCTCTTGAGCCATGTGCAACTTTCTCAGCAACGCGCGCAATTGCTCCTGCGCGCAGTCGAGTGTGGCGGGGCACGGAATATCCAGCGCTTCGACCATCGCGAACGCGTCATCCGACAACGCTGGCTTGTCGGCGTCATACCCGCACAAGTGCTCGTTGTAGTCCATGAGGAGGTTGGAATACTTGATTTGCGTCACAAGCAGTTGCTGGGACAGCGAGATGATTTGCTGATGGGCAAACTCGAGCTCGGTAAAGGCAGGGGCCGGCGGTGCTGGCGGCGGTGGACTGAACTGGTCGGGATGATAGAATGCCGGCGGCGGCGCCATCGACGGGTGTCCATAGCCATAGCTGTGTTCGGCAGGGTGGTCAAATACCGCATACTCTTGAGTGGGTGCATGGGATGCTGGCGGCATTGGATCGACACGGTTCAGATGGATCTGCACTTGGGCCGCCGTTTGCTTTCGCAATATGTCAAGTTCTTGCTTGAGGAGTTCGTTTTGAAGGGTCAATGCCGCCAGCACTGCGTCGCCTGTACCTCTTTGCTCCTGACCGTCGTCATCATCGTCGTCGTGGCCATGGCGGGATCGACCATTGGCTTTGGTGGCAGAGACGAGAGGCGCCGCCGCCGCCGACTTTTTGGTTGGTGTGGTTTTTGCTCGAGGGGTGGTGGTTTGCCGCGGTTTGGGAATCTCCAGCGGTGGTCGCATCACCACTCGCATTTGTACCTTTGCTTGGAAGCGCGTCGTCCACAATACATGACGCCCAAACTTTTGCAATGTCTCCATGGCTCGAACGAAGCGGTGGTACTTGGACATGGCCACGCGCGATCGCACCCACGTTTGCAATTTCAGCACGGACGCACGGACGCGGGCCCTGTACGCCAAACACTGTCGCATCCATGTTTGGAGGACAGCCGCCGCTCGCCGCCGCGCCGCCGCAACTTTCCGACCCAAGAAGCCCCGAACGTTGCGCTGGAGCAACGTCGCATGCCTCGCCATGATTTGGCGACGGAACCGACGCAGGTCGTTGTATACGTCTTTTCGAAAAAAGATCTTGGAGTTGCCAAGCTGGAACCCCACCGACCCGCAGGCTTCATGGAATGCCTGGCGATCGATTCTCGCGGTTTGACCCCTCGCGACCGTCGTGGCAATGTCGACAATGCCAGGGGCGTCGTTGGCATAGAATTGCAGCATGATGGCCGCGACGATTTGTTCGCATACGCCCTGGAGGTCTTTCTTGGCGCTGGTCCGGGGTTTGAAAAACCCAAACGCGTCCACAAAACTGCCATGGTCAACACGCACAGCATATCCTGCTCGGGCAATGCGGACCGCTTCCAAGACCCCGCCAGACCGGAGTTGCTGCACAACGCGCGCCTTGTTGAGCTCTCGGGGCGTGTGCACGTCGTTGGGTTTGACACATCGAATGTACCGCGCTTGTGTGCTGCCAATCACTTGAATGAGATCGTCCAACTGAGACTTGAATTGGGCCGACACACTGGTCGACCGAATGCTGCTGGGTTGTCGCAATACGACAGGGGGTTTGCGACTTTTGGACGCACCACCTCGCTTTCCAGACGCCGTCGCAGTCCCTGTGAGCTGCAGCAAGCTCTGCACAATCTCGTTCGAGGACGAACGGCACAGCTCGAGCGCTTCCCCTGGGAGCGCGTCCTGGTTCTTTTCCAAGTACGTGTCGTTCTCGTACACGACGCGACCAGCGAAATGGCCCACAACAAACTGAAACTCAACGCGTTGGGAACTGGTCGAGAAGAACGGGCGGGATGGTTTTCGAGGCGTTGGTTGGGACAGCGACGGCATCTTCCCTTTGCCTTGTTCGGGACAGGACTGCCGCCGAGACGTCGGGACCTTTGCGTCGTCCACGGTTGTGCTGTCGTCCAAGTACTGGCTGTACAGCTTGGTGATCCAGCCTTCGTTCGTCCCCTTAGGTAGCATCCCTTCTTCGTCGAGCAAGCACCACATGCCCATCGGTCGATCTTCCAGGAGCTGCAAGCACGGCGCGTTGTCCGGGTACTCGATGTACTTCCACTCGATGCCTTCGGCCTCGTACATGCGCTGCTCCTTGGCGAACACGAGGTCGTTGAACTGGGATTGAAGCCGTTCGTTTGCGTAGTTGATGCAGAGCTGCTCAAACCCGTTAGAGACCAAATTTTCAAACCCAAAAATGTCGAGGATCCCGATCGTGTTGACGCTGGCGGCATCGTGCCGGATCACACTGCTCAGCCGCGACACGATCCACTTGAACAACCCGCCAAACAAACTCTGCGTCAGCGATTGCTTGGCCTCGTTGGCCTGCTCAGGCGACAGCTTGACCATGATCTTGTCCTTGGTTGTTGTCACGTGGCGCGTCACAAGCGCTTGTGTGAGCTCCATGGGCGAAACACCCAGCAATGTCGCTGCTGTGTCCAAATGATGGCGAGATTCGGCGTCGATCGTCGCATGCTCCATGTTGGACGCCTCGCACGTCGTCCCGTCCAGCCCGACATTGCCCAGATGAAGCAGCGCTGCCACGATGCCGAAAATGCTCCGCTGCTCGTCTTGGAGGATCCCCATGTCTGTGAACGCCTTCGAAGTTTCTTGGAATTGGGCGGCATCGTCCACGCCGTCTCGCCGCGTGAAACATCCGCTTTCGTTGAGCAAGGCAAAGTCCTCGGCGTCCGACAGCGACAGCGCAGCCGCCAACTCGTCGTCGGCACCAGCACACAGTTCGTAGAAGATGTGAAAGTTGCGCTCGTTGTCGGACTGGTGGCTTACGCGGATTTTCTCCAGTAAGTACACGCTGAGCTTGGCGCCAACAATCTTGTGGTGGTCGCCGAATTGAAGCTCGATAAACTTGCCAAAGCGACTCGAGTTGTCATTGCGCACAGTCCGGGCGTTCCCAAACGCTTCCAAGATCGGGTTCGTTTGCAAGATCTGGGTTTGTATTTGTGCAGTGGGGGCTGCAGCCTTGCCTCGACTACCCCCCCGCTTCGTCATGCTAGCCTTACAGGGCGATGTAGTCAACGACACATCCATGGCCCCGACGTCCGTGAGGTACTGCATGAGAAACTTGGTATTTTCCGTCTTCCCCGCCCCAGACTCTCCACTCACGAGGATGCTCTGGTTCTTCTTGTCGTCGCACAAGCTCTTGTAAGCGTTCGCTGCGATGGCAAACACATGCGGCGGAAGACTCGCGTCTTGATCGGACGACGTGGCATACGTTTGTACGTATTTGTGGGAGTAAATGTTGAGGCGCTGGAACGGGTTGAACGACAGCAGAATCTCGCCAATATATGTGTAGATGAAGTCGTGAGCATATCGGTCGCACACGGCATACAAGAGTTCGGGTTCGTGCAAGTACTGGAGCGAGATCAGGTCCGGCACGGTCGTAAAGTCTTCTTGATCGTTTCGAAGGTGTATTATCTGCTCGAGCTTTCCATTCACGACACCGTCTAGAGGGCACCACATGAAAAACCACGTCGCGATCAAGTCGCGACACACACGTACTGGACGGTCGCGTGATGACCGAGCCGTCGTCCAAGCGTGCACGCACGAAATCTCCATCAAGGCACTCTTCTATCACGGCCGAGAGCCATATCGCGTCACGGTCTTCGATCCACACCCGCGCGCCGACCTCCATTGGCGTCGGTGATACAGATGTGGGAAATCTTCAACCAACGTCGCCGTCGCACCTTTTTATTTCTGTGTTTAGATTTCACTTGAGTGTTGTATGGATCGGCCAGATTTGCGAAATATTATCGCGTTTCACACGATTTTTCGAAACTTTTGCTTCCGTCGGCCCAAAATTCCGAAAATCTCGTCGGCTGTACGACCTCGTCGGACAAAATCCATTGTACTTGTACATACGTACAACAAGATATCGGACGTACAATGCCGGACATCTCGGTACGTCCAAAATCTCGGGGGCAATTCGAAGATCGTAGCTCTGTCGCTGTCATTTTCGTCGACGTCGACCCACGCACGACGACACCTCTCTACCGCAGTGCGCCGACACCCCGCGCCGTCGGCACCGCGCGGACGCGTGAAGGTACACGTCATGCAAGCCCCCTTCCAGCGACACGTGCGATGCACGGGGCTGTTCTTGGTATCTCGGTTCGAAATTTCGCGTACTGTATGATGAAATCAGCTCGCCGCAGGATTTTGTGTCGTCGTGCCCATACTCTGGGCCGAGAAGAGTGGGTGGGACCAGGACATTCTTGGTGGAGAATGCAGCGAGCAACCCAAATAGAGCCGCGAGTAGATGCCAGCCGTAACCAGCACCGACTTCGAGGCGGCGCCTTCCATGGCGCGTACCTTGAAACGGCCAACATTGATCGGTTATTGACGGGTCATTACATGTATTGTTGCTGGCGCGTGCAGCGATCGAGGCGGAGATGCGCCGTTCGGCATGACATGCAAAGGAGGTTTGCTGAGTTGGCTGGCGCGCGCCGTCTCGTGTAAGCAATACCGCACGCGGTACGACATGCAGTCGATCTCGCCGGGGCACAGCATTCCAAGCAACACGTTGAACCGGAACGGGTGGACGTCATACAAATCACGCAAGTGTTATGACTGTCTGCTTCATTCTAAGCAGAGTCTTTCAGCACGACGTGCGCTGCATTGCGACCGCATGCTCCCATCACCCCGCCACCGGGATGCGTGCCAGCGGAGCACAAGTACAGCCCGCGGATCGGCGTACGGTAATCGGTGTACCCTCCAAGTGGCCGCAGCCAAAAGAGCTGGTCGAGACCCATCGCTCCGTGGAAAATATTGCCTCGGGGCAGCGAGAAGACGCGCTCCAAGTCCGGCGGCTACCCATCATGCACATGATGTCCATGCTGTCAAGCACGCGTACCGTCAAGATGTCGGTGCCTACGATCGACGCTTTGAAGCCTGGTGCGTATTGCTCGATCACGGAAAAGCACTGGTCCGCAAACGCGGCCTTCTTCGCATCTGTCCACGGCCCATCCTACCAGACACACACAGCTCCATGCGACCCGACCACATGCCTTTGCTTACTTTGGGCAAATACGGAGTGTACTGCACAAAAAGGAGCGCGATGTGGTGGCCTCTCGGCGCGATCGAGTCGTCCATGGAGGTTGGGATGTTCATCTCGATCACTGGCCGACGCGATGCGACGCCTTGCTGGACATCCAAGAACGCGTCTTCGATCTAGTGACGGTGGAAGTGCCTGGGATGTCGGTGATGGTTGGCCCACCTGGCGCATCGAGTCCTCGAAGTGGGTCGTCCCGCGGTGGTGCGGCATCGGGGCCGACCCCACGTTGGGCAAACACGTAAAGTTGGGAAGTGCGTCGAGCGCGACGTTAATCTGTACATGCCCGCGTTACCAGCATGACGGGGGAGGTCGCGAGGGCACCCACTTTGGTCGATGCTGACTCGGTGTCCCACGCGCGCTCAAAATGCGCCACCACCGACGCTGGCAGATGCTGCTTGCCCACCAGGTCCAAATACGTCAGCGATGGACTCGCGTTCGATAGGATGTGGGTCGCGTCCATCACAGTTCCATCGGCCAACGTTACGCCCGTCGCCCGCCCTTCTTTGACATTGATGGAAGCCACCGGGGCATTCGTAAGCATGCGAACGTTGGCAGCTTTCGCAGCGCTTGCTAGCGCCTATGCCATGTCGAACGAGAGCGCATGCGTAGCTGGTTCAGAAACCTCAAACATGGCGAACATACCGCGGAGACTCCGCCCATGCCGCCGCGAACGTGCCCCCACATGCCCTTGACGCCGTCGAGCTCGCCCATGATATGATGAAACAGCACGTAGGCTGACCCTGGCGTCGACGGGGCGACCTACCGACCGGTCGTGACGACATTTCATAACAGGCCATGCCTTGGCCCCAATGATCGCGTCCGTGGCAAGCGTCGCCTTGAGGACGTCCGACTCGAACCAGCGATTCAAAATCTTGTCGGCAGGTGCCGTCATGAACTCGACAAACGTGCCGAGGTCTCGCCCGAGCTTGACTCCTTGGATGCCAAGGCGACCGAACGCTTGCAGCGCATCCAGTCGTGCGCTACCGACGGGTGAATCACTTCCCAGGCGCTTGGCATGGCTGGCTAGCTGCCTCACCGAAAGGATGATTCGCTGCTCAAGGCGACTTTGATATCTGGCGGAATCTACAACAACATCGTGGTGTAGCATCCATAGCTCTTCTCGTCCACGTACTGAGTCGATCAGAGGGACGAAAAACGCGACCAGGCGCTGCAACGACACTTAGCGATGCCATCGACACCACGACGCAAACCTCGAGCATGGCATGATACTTGGGATACGCCTCGGCGTCGGCACGAGAGAATTGTGCTGTGCGCCATCCGTGAGGCGGTGGGGCCACCAGGACGTGGGCGGGCGTACCAATTTGTCGCTGGTTCTCTTGCATGTCGGCCCCCAGCACCAAGCTTTGACCATTCAAGAGTGGGGTGAACGACGACGGGTCTCTCGGATACACTAGTCCAGGGGAGGCCAGTCATCCGTGGGAAGGAAACCAGCGTGCGCATCAACATACCGACAAGTCCATGCTTGTGCAAGTCCAAGTCGCGGATGATCTGCGGTCGAAACAAGCTGAACACGTACGACGCCCGAGAAAACCGAAAGTTCGGCACGATCTCTTCCGTCACGGCCGCCCCGCCCAGTACATGCCGCTTCTCCAAAACACACACCGCCTTGCCAGCCTACACTGGACATGGTGAGTGTCGCTCGTTACGTGGTGGAGGACCTTGGCAAGGTATGTGGCCGCCACGAGGCCATTGTGGCCCCCTCCCACGACGATTGCGTCCCTACAAGGACACCATGAATCCCCACCCTTCCATGAGATCTTGCTGCTAGGCATGGGCGGCGCACCACTTTCGCGCTAGCGCTCGCGCCGATCCTTGCATGGTTGTCCTGGTCTTGTTCTCGGCGGCACAGTGCTTCTTGGCAAGTTCAAGTTGGCACCTAGGTTTGTATGGGACTCAAAGCAGCCTATCAGACGGCGACTTTGGTCAAACGAACCAGGCGCAGGAGGCAGGTCGACGATGAGGCGCAGGCTGTTGGTGGGACCGGGAGGCTTCACATACATGGCCCGTTCCACGTCCTTACGATGCGTGCTACACATGCCGCCGCCCCTGTCACATTCAAGTCCCAACTACGTCGATTCTTGTTTCTGACGACAGTGGATTCGCCACACGATCGCTCACATCAACGGGAACTGCTCGAACCGCCGAAAGAGCTCGTCATCGAGGACACAGATAATCCGTGGTGCGAGTGCATGTGCACAGGTCATCCTCGTGGCACGAGGGACATGGGATCGATCCTCTGCGGCGAATTCCACGTTCATCACTGGGTACATCGTGACACACTTGTGGAGTAGAATGCCACAAAATCACGACGGAGCTGCATGGACGAAACCCGACCGCGTTCGTGGAATCGACTACGATAGCAAAGAAGCGTTGTTCCAAAGCTCGTGTGGTGCAGTCGACTGGACAACGAAACGAATTGCTCATGCTTCGTCCACGCCGAGCGACGTCGGCGCGGCTGGAGTCCCGTTGGTTTCGAGGCGGCATTACGACGCGTCGTTTAGGACCACGAACGCGTTTCATGGCGGCTATCGAAAAAGGTCCGCCAGAAGCCCGCTCGGAATCGAGCCTTTCACAGACCCCAGATAAAATCCACCTTGGACAACGCGAGTCGCGCTGAAATGCGCGGTAGTCCGTTGAGACAGCAGAATGCAGCACATGAGCACGGCGGGGATGGACTCGGTGCTGCTCGTGGCTCCACTTCGCGGTTGAATGGTGGTGCGTACACACACGCCAAGTACTCCCATCCCGAGACCACGAAGTCGGACGTCCTCGCAGTTTTCGCCTCCTCTCTTGCCAGCCCTGTCAGTTGCCGACGGGTACGTCATCGGCGCCTCCTTGCGACGCCATCGCGGTCCACCTGTCGGTGTAATGGAGTCACGTGGCCCAGAGCGCCAACGGTTCAGGCTGCCGGACGGGGGCATCATGAGTCGTTTTTCATTCATCAGCGGGTTCCGCCGGCATGTCGAGGCTGAAGTCAGATCCATGCACCAGGAATATATCGACATATTGGAACTACACACAAACTAGCTCTACAGCAGGACGGAACTCGTGATTCCAGCCGCTTCCTCAGCTTGTCGCTTCCGCTTTTGGAGACTTTCGTATAGCCGGCGCACTGACATGTCCTGCGGCGTCGGCCCTTTGTCGTCTCCATGCGTTTGCAGTGCGTAGTCATCGAACGCGAGTTCAAAAGCAGTCTCGAGCTCTTCGTCCGAGAGTGCCATCAGGTCGTCCTGGGACGTCACAATGCCTTGTTCGATCGCGACTTCGACCAGCATGTTCATGGCCTTCCGCGCACGGTACAGGTCCTGCCGATTGTCCACGTCGCTCTCTTTCAAATACCGGAACGGACCGATCCCGGCGGCCGAGTCGCCGCGAAACCACAGTTGCCACATCACGCTGCAGTTGGTCGCCGGCAGCCGGTACCCTTCCGGCGTCAGGTGCAGCGATCCGTCACTCCACGTAAACGTGAGTTCGTGCTGGTTGGTTCGGCGGCCTTTTTGCAGCGCATCGTAGACGGTCATGTACGAGCAGGACGACCACTTTTCTGCGTCGAGCGGCTTGGACAGCAGCGTCGGATGCTGCGACATGATTTCAAAGCACTGGTGGTACACGGCGCGGAGGTCAGCCACGTCGGCGAGTGCGTCCTCCGTCGGTGCGATTCCTTTTGAGATGGCCAAATCGATCAAGACCTTCATCACACGGCGCGCGACGTACATCGATCGCTTCGAGTTGGGATCGGTCAAGTCGGCTCCGAGCAAGTGCCGGAATGGACACAGCTGGCTTACTGAGTCACCACGGAACCATAGCTCCCACATCGCCAAGCACGTCGATTGCGGAAACTTCCAATCTTCTGGCACCGGATGCTGGTTGCCCGTGGTCCATTCGAACTGGGCAAACGAACCTCGTGGCAGCACACGTCGGGCGATTGAAGCAGCAGCGGCAGACGATTTCGGCCGCGGAACCACGGAACTCTCGACGTTGACAGCTTCGGGCGACGATACGACACAAGGCGTCGCGGTCTTCCGTCCAGCTCCTCGACCATGGCTTGACCGACCTTTCGTGGTTGGCACGCCACGGGAAGTCAACTTTGTGGACGCATTTCGCATGTTCGTTGAGTTGTTCGCGGTTGTAGGTAGCTGGTTGTTGGCTGCGTGGATTTCGGTTGTGGTGGATCGACAGGTTGGACATGGTACCTGCTGCAGGTGTACGTGTTGTTGTTGTTGTTGCTGCTGCTGCTGCTGCAGCTGTTGTTGGATCTGTTGGAGCTGTTGTAATTGCTGTTGATGGTACTGGAGGTGTTGTTGTTGCAACTGCTGCTGTTGTGCCCCGAGCGCCGTCAGCTGGGCTTCGATGTTCAGGAGTCGCTGATGGACGTTGTCCATGCCAACGTTCGTGTCGCGCCGGAGAGCATCGACCTTATCCCCCAGCGTGACATCGATCGTGCGGGGCAGGTTCTCAATCAGGTTCTGAATCCAGACCAAGTGGTCCTGCAGGTGGGCCACGTCGTACGTCGGGTGGCCGCCGCCGATGTGGTTGGACGCCATCTTGACCTGTGTTTCTCTTGACTGACGCGATATTGATATCCGGATAGCTTCCGCCTGCATATCCGGATTTCCGCACCACGGGGTCAAGGTCGCTCCGTGCCATTGACCGCGGCCCTGACGAGCGCACGAACGGCAGCAATGGCTTGTGTGCGTGTGCAGAGTCCGCGGCAGCGCGCGCCTTGAGCCGAATGCAGCCACGTGCGCTGGGTTGAACGGGTGGACTGCTGTGAACAATGATTAGGGATTCAACGACTCTCGTGTGTGTGTGCGAAAGCCGCGAATCGACAAACATGACCTTGTCAAGGCGGCATGCCCCTCGACAATGCACGGCTTCCTGCAACCACCCGAGACAGCCACACGCACTGGACGATTCGGTCGGTGAGTTTCAAATTTGCCGCCAGAGATTTTGATTGGCTGGCTAAGAAACTCCTACCATCGGATTGGCCAGTTTGAATTTCGCGTGGCAGCATGCCTTGGAGGCATCAACAGCGCTCCACTGGAAAAAAAATGCCAAAGGACGGACTTTTGGCTACCATGATGGCACAAGGCAGAGATTACCCTGTCCAGCCCATACAGCTTTGATGTCGGAAACGTCGAGTGACGTACCACCACAAGTTGGCTAGATGTGGTTTCGACGGCGACACATCAGAGATATTCCGAGGGAAGCCCACCAGCACGTAGTTGGGCCAGAAGATCACGCCAGTCCGATATTTCTTCCCAGGAACCGCGGCGTCCGTGCATTGGAAACGACACAGACCTTGGCCATTAACCTCCAGAGACAGGGATTCTGTGACGGCAGTGCCAATCCATGCACTGGAGATGTGCGCCTCGGGACTTGCTGCTATCTGGGAAACTAGGGTGGTGACATTGAACACGTGCTTGCCTCGTATACAGTCGACTTACAGGTTGGTTATGTAGTACATGGCTGCGACACATGCGTGCCTGATTTAGGCACGAGTGACGGGACCTTGCCAGAAATGACCGCTGGAGGGGTCATCACCAAGTGGAATTTCCCCGAATCGATCTGTTTTGAACATAGAAACGCTGGAAAAAAAGCCATCCTGAAATGCATGCAGAAAACATCATTTTTCTCAAATTTCGTGAGTTAGTCCAACTTGATTGGCTATATAATCAGGGGAATTTCTGTCACAGTTTTTATTGGATCTACACTGCCATTGGTCAATATTTCGGCCTTGGTATTGACGTATACAGGTGGAAGAAATTTGTAAAACATATCATGTTATAGAGGTGGTCGGCATTTTTGGGGGCTTACTATCGGTATTTTTCAGGGTTCACGGTAGTGCTGGCCAGATTGGTACACCAACGTCGTGATCACTCTCGTCATGAAGTAATTGCTGGGCTAGTGGTCGCGATGGGGCGGCCGGCTCTCGCCCCGTCGTCCCTCACCAAGTCGGCCCAGCAAAAACGAGAGTCCATATTGAAAGGCCTCCATGGACAAACCCGATGACTCGTTCGCTTGTGGATTCTCGCAATGTAGAGGCCAAGGGCCTGTAGACGCAACAGTGCACGACGTCCACACCCACCGTGCGGCACGTTGGCCCCACCGCCAAAAGAAAGTAACGCAAACAACGAAATCTTATCCTGTACCTACTGAATCTCGGCAACACCAATTACTGTATGTCAAACCTGAATTCGGACGGCGACGCCACGGGAAATGGCTGTCAAAAGGACCTGGCACGCCGCGCCGCTGCGACGAATTGTTACTCGTCAATAGATAGGTCTATCGAAGCAAAGGAAGCCACTACCTGCGACAGACTGCACGTTGTCACTTCGTGTTGGTCACTTGTGCCCGCTAGAGGCCGCACGACTCAACGCAAGCGACACTTTCGTCCCATGTAGATGGTGCTGTGCTGTCTGTGGCCGCCAGCTGGCGCACCCATTCCGTGGAGGATTGTCCAACAGCTGCTGACATGGTGTCGAGGGTCAGTGAAATTACCTTAAATTGACCATGCCGTCATGAAAAACGATCGATTGGACAACGTAGTCGATGTACTTGAAGTATATCATACACAGAAACCAATCAAATTGAAGAGACTCGGGAAATTGACAATTTTTGGTCCTATTTTCGAGAATTCTTGCATGCGTAGAAACCACGTCGACCGAGACGACAAGCGGTGCGCTCAAGCGCCCGACAGCGTCGGCGGGAGGCAAAGATGACGCTGGTCGAGGAGATGAAAGGATAAATTACGTCGGAAAGAAGCCACAGGTGCTGGAGCTACTGCAGGCACCACATCACGCTGGACATGGGTAGATCCGACAGGAATCCGTCGATCACGCCAATCTCGACATCGTCCCAGCACTGCACAAACTTCATCGCTTCGACTTCGATCATGTTCAAACATGCAGTCGGATCGTCAACCTGCGTGGTATCCTTCCAGGAAGACGACGGCACGGGAACCGCAGTTGCGCGGACGTGTTCTGCTTTGATGCGACCGCCGACGGGGTCCTTGTGTGCTTGCTCAACTCGCGGACTTCGGGTCATTCCGCCAGGAATGGTCATCGTCTTGGCATTGATGTCGCTGTGCTTACAGCAGTAGCCACGGCTGCGGGCGTTGCCAAGGCAGCCTGGCGAGAGGCACTCGCGTCGGCCTCCATGGGCTACGCACAATCGCCGCGCGTACGCTTGGTTCATGCAAAGAGGCACGCTGCAGTGATGTCTGTACCGGTGGAGCTTGCACTTGCCGTGGAAGAGGACAGGTCTCGAGCATCCGTTGAAGCAGCACGTCGATGTCGTTGCCATGGCGGTGGTCTTTGTCAAATTTCCAAATGCCCAACTCTGGACGAGACCGATGAGGCTGTATGTCGCACAGGACTCAGAGTTTCGATCGATCCGTGGAGCCGTGGTGAGCTCTTCGCCGTACCGTCCCACCCCCACTCTAGTCAGTTCCCCGCGTGGCCTCGCTGCGGTAGAGCATACCACTGTGTCGACGACTTCCAGGCAGTCGCAACTGCTGGTTTCGACGGGAGCGCCGCCTCAACGCGGTTCGCATGCCAAACGCAAGCGAGGTTTGCAGTGCTTCCCACGCAGTGTCCGACGACGACTGGTGTTGGATGGCCATCCCTTTCCCACAACGTTTGAGCCGCTACCTTCCCCTGTTGCGCCACCTGAATTCAAGCGATATCACAAACCACGAGCACAAGCAAACGGCATCAAGCGAATCGCTCACGTCCCACCCTTGTCTCACGTGTCCACTCGCGCGCTTCAAATCCCAGACCAGGACTGGGAGTCCTTCAAAAAAGTTGGCTCCACATGCCGGTCACCAACTCGTGTGCCACATGGCTGTCGCATTGCCCCGGCTAATCCGAAAATTTGGCCCATTTCAACATATTTTGGATGAGGTGTTTCGATTGGCTAAAAGAATTCAAAGAGGTTTTACGATGTACTAGTAGTAATTTCGCAAGGAATAAGTAGCGGTAGCCAATCGAATCCATGCAACTAATTTTGTGAAAAATGCACCATGTAGATTGGGTTCAACTGGCGGATGGAAGGCTTGATCGAACGGCACGCGGCGTTTGTGGGCCAGCCTCGTTCAATTACGACCAGACCGGTCGAGATAAAGATGAATGCTGTCACGGTTAAATGGCTTCAGCGCGTCCGTGGCTCCGAAATCCCGTTTCATGGTACTCTCGATTGAGATGCTGAGAACATTTGGCAACGATGTGAGTGGGTGTCCGCCGTGACGACGGTCCGCGGTGGCTGAGTCGCTTGCGCAAGAACGTATGCTTGGTGCGGTTGCTTGGGCCA